GTTGGTGACCAATGATAAAACTTAACCAAAAAGTCCTTTTCTAAATAAATAAAAAGAAAAGAAAAACAACAATATGCCAGTTATTAAATGGAAATGGAAAAGAGCTAGAACATTAAGAAAAGACAGAACTACTTTAATCCCATTAAAACTCAGTTTTCTCCAAAAAGTGCACATGTCGTCTCCCTGGCAAATAGGAAAAAGCAACATTCAAGCTTACTGTAAGGTTGACATCCTTGCAGAATACATGGTGACCTGGATTCAGAACACCAGGATTTTATTCTAAGATACTGAAAGGACTTGCTAAGTTTGTCTGAAACTTTTATTTTATTTATCAAATTTTGAATCTGCCCATCTCCCTCTCAGAGAGACTCTTGGTGGTATACAAATAAAACACTATATAACATTTAAAAAGAGGCAAGGATGATTAAAATTTAATGTTAGAAATTAATTAAAAAGCCAGGAGAGAGCTTTCAGGGTACTGACCTTGCATATCCCTCTGTGCACCCCAAGCAAGGCTACAGAATCATGATTTCACATCTTTCTGAAAGGCCAGGAGAGTGGGGTGTCCATCTTACCTCTGGGGTGAGAATGCTGTCTCCCTGGACCCCACCAGTTGGAATTCTGATGTTGATGAGATCCACAACATACATTGACTACCTAGCTTTGTGGGATGGGCTGATGTAATAGAACGAAGATAATTCTGTAGGTAACCTGGCCCCATGCCATGTTGGCCTTTAATTTATATAATTAACACTTTGAATTGGACCCAGAAACAGGCTTTTCCAATTATCTTTGAGAAATCCTAATGAATGAAGAAAGTTTTGGGTGATTTTTGTCTCTATCTTCTAAACAGAGAACTCAGGTAACTACAGACCAACCAGTGTAATATCAATACCTGAGAAGGTTATGGGTCAGATCCTTAAGTGATAGATCTGAAAGTATCCTTAAAAAGTGACCTGTGACATTCTGATTGGCAAGTTAGTTAAAAATTGAGAATCTCTTTCTGCAGTTAAGAGCTTGGGTAGAAATATTGTAAAAATCAGATTGTATTGGATTGTATTTTGTAGTTAAGCATTGGGAGTAGGAATAACTCCATAGCAGTCAAGTTTAATAGATAATAAAACTAATTGAGAATAATTGTATTTAAATCTGGAACATACAGAAGGGATAAAGGTGATTATTGTGGAAAGCAAAATCAGTTATTGCAATGCAGAGGAATTTATATGTACTGTATTTAAGGAAGGTTATTGGTAAATAGCAGGGTTGTTTTTGTTTTTTTTACAAACAAGTACCATGTAAATGTATTGAAGTCCAAATCTACCATCTCCTGCAATTTCTATACTAACTTGGGTGATATTTTCCAAAATGTTGGAGGGCACCAAGTTGGGCAAGATTGACATAGAACAATAAAAAACCATTAAAGATTGGCAACTGCAATGAATTGTCACGGACCACATCCTGTGTAGCCTATTTAACTTTGATAAATAGATTAAGCTTTTGAAGAGCAAGTTCAGTGGTCATAAGATGCATTTCTTACATAACTATCCTTTGTATAAAATGGGAAGTAAAGAACCACAGAGAACTTCAAATGAAACAAAAATATTAAAATCAATATGATCTTCAGGTTTACCACTATTCAGTTCTGATTCAAGCAATATAAGATCATGGGAAGCAATGGACAATGTTATATGAGTCACACCATTCATACAGTTAGCTGTAGCCCCATTGCTAAATGAAATATGTCTGTTACATATGTCTGGTTTTATACTTTCCTTACATCGGTGCACTATCTAGCCCAGGGGTAGGCAACCTTGACTCTTTTATGACTGGTGGACTTCAACTCCCAGAATTCCTGAGCCAGCACGGGGGAACTATGGCCTCTTTTATGACTTGTGGACTTCAACTCCCAGAATTCCTGAGCCAGCATGAGGGAACTTTGGCCCCTTCATGACTCGTGGACTTCAATTCCCAGAATTCCTGAGCCAGCATGGCTCAGCTTGGAAACCTCTCCCTTTCCCCTCAGCATGGCTGGCTCAGGAATTCTGGGAGTTGAAGTCCACGAGTCATCAAAGAGCCAAGGTTGCCTACCCATGGCCTAGCCTACCATACTTGATTAACTCATTTGTTCCTCACCAGTGATTTCTGTAAAAAAGAAGTTAGGAAAAACACAAGTTTGCCTAAATCGCTAAGTGATTTTTACTTACAGCTAACCTGGGATTACTAGTATGCTAGATGGAGCTAACAATTTAAAACTTATTTCAATCTTTTCTTGATGATAGGGCTGTTCAGCCTCCTACTGATGGGGCTGAGATCCATCTTTATGTCTAGTTTAAGCATAGAGATTGTTGGTAAATACATTCCTGAATGTGGAGTAGCTTCTGTGCCTAGGAGTGCTTTTACGCAAGTCTGGTTGATGTGTATATTAGATTAGTTTAAAGGCCAATGTAGTCAAGTATCTTGGTTTTTAACAGTGGCCTGCCTGTTATTGATGGGAATGTTTGTAGATTCTTTTCTCGTTGTATAACCACTACTGTATTTTTTCATTGTATTGCAGTTGTTTATATTCCACTAATCATCATCATCGAGAAAGAACTGGGAAAAATACAAAATACAAAGACTGGCAAATAGAAGTAGAACAACTGGGGCAAAAGAAAGCAAAGATAGTACCAATAGTCATAGGTGCCTTGGGTGCAATCCCCAAAACATGTGGAGCACTACTTGAATACCATCAGCATTGACAAAATGGACAATTAACCAGAAATCACCTTCAGAAATCGTGGGTGCTCCATCACTGGAGGTTTTTAAGAAGAGACTAGACAGTCACTTGTCTGAGATGGTATAGGTTCTCCTGCTTGAGCAGGGGGCTGGTGTAGAAGACCCCCAAGGTCCCTTCCAGCTCTATTCTACAGTATTCTAAAAAAATCACCACCAGTCAGTTGCAAACTTTACTTGGAACAGCTTATATACTGCAGCTTATATCTTTAACACTATCAAACCACAACATTGGTCTATCCCAAGTCTTTGGGAAGAACCCGATTAGTGGATAAAAATGCCAAATCCAAATCCATATCTGGCTGACGGTGCCACCAACCATAGTAAAACAAATATTGATGTGGAATTCACAAGAGAAATTAACTCAAGTAGCTCCTCACCAACTATATGGAGAGCCATATACTGTCTCCATTGTCTCAGTAGATGGCAGCACCTGGTTGATATTGTCTGAGCTGAAAATAGCAGGATCAGGCCTGATTAGACCTGGATAGAAAACATCCTGGGAATGCAAAGGTTACTTTGAGTAATCCCAGAAGAAGGCAGTGGGTAACTATTTCCTAACTGTTGCTAAGAAAACTTTATGGAGATATCCATGAAGTCACCAGAAGTTGAGTTCAGATTGAGGAAAGTGATAATTAGAGGTAATGCATAGCTCTTGTGATTAGTAGCTAATAGGAAAGTTAGTTCTCACCCGGTCAAAAAAATAAACTATGATAATGGATCCAGTGATTGTAAAAATAAAGGACAGATAGAAACAACCTGGCTTGCTCAAAAGAGAGGCCAAGTAGGACAAGAAAGAGAAGAACATGCAAGAGAATTTGAATAGAAAGGTTATTTTTTTAAATCATGGCAATTGTTGAAATTCTTTGGTTATTGTTTCTATTACTTTTTTCAATACATATGACTCATCTGTCATCAGACAACTGTTGAGAGACAAATTTATGGAGAATAACATAAGAGTGTTTATGGAGTGATATCACATTTTAAAGCCATCTATGTTAATGGCCATGGTCTATATATCTTCTAGAAGCAAATTCCATTGTTTAAGCATGAGTTGTCTGAAGAAATATTTCTTGGCAAAAGGAGTGAAGTGGCATGTTTCCTCCCCTCCTTTTTGTATGTTTTTTTTTCCAGTTCCCACTCTAATCTTGAAATTTCTCATGTCCTCCTCTCCAAGTACTAATCAGGGCTTTGACCCTATTTAGTTTTGTTGAGATCAGCCACATCTAGTTAGGTACCATCATCTGTGGTGATTCTGCCCCATTTTAGTGCTCTCCCAATGTTGATAAAAAAATTTCCAGTATTCCTTTGCATTCTGTCTGGTGGTTGAAAGAAAAAAAAATCTAGCTAGAAAGCCTGGTATACCCTATATCAGAGGTCTCCAACCTTTTGGGCACCAGGGACTGGTTCCATGAAGAGAGATTTTCCACGGACTGGAGGGGGCCTGGTTTCATGTACTGCCTGCATCTTGTGGATGGGGCTTTGCTTGTTTGTGCGGACCAGTTTCTGGCATGCCACGGACTGGTACCAGTCCACGGACCAGGGGTTGGGGACCCCTGCCCTATATGCCCTTCCAGAAACTGCAATGAGAGCGGATACTAACAACTTTCTAAGATGGACCAATAAACCCACTTCTGCCAGTTCACTATATGGGACTAACAATGCTCTAAAGTCTATAGGAGATCCAGAAATGATCAGTAATGTATATCTGTTTTATCATCCTCTAATATTGTACTTCATATTATATACTGTATATTTTTTAGATAGTCTGGGTTTGTGAATGTGAAACTCAGACTGGATTGGCTTGGTTTCTCAGGGAGGAAGAGTGCACAGATCCTTCCCAGCATCTGGCACGTCCATCTAGTTTGAATAACACAGCAGACACTCAACTCTGCAAAGTTTCTGCAAAGATTTAAAATACGTTGTGAGTAGTAATATCCTCCTATCCCTTGGATACATTCTCTTCTCTACCAGAGAAGAGAGTATGCATAACATCTAATGCAGGGGTCTGCAACCTTGACAACTTTTAAGACTTGTGGACTTCAACTCCCAGAATTCCTCAGCCAGCATAGCTGGCTGAGGAATTCTGAGAACCGAAGTCCACAAATCTTAAAGTTGTCAAGGTTGCAGACTCCTGATCTAATGCATAGATGTTAATTCTGCCATTGGATATTTTACGGGCCACTAAAGAATTATTTGAGCCAATCATTTGCTTTTTCTTTTTGCAGTGGAACATGACAAGGAGTTCTATCATCAGCGCAGTCACCATCGTGAGTTCCGATTTGACCTCTCTAGGATCCCCGAGGGTGAAGCAGTAACTGCAGCTGAGTTTCGAATTTACAAGGACTACATTAGAGAACGTTTTGATAATGAAACATTCCAAATCAGTGTCTACCAGGTCCTCCAAGAACACCCAGGAAGGTGAGTGGCTAAAAGACCCCGGAAACCTAAGAGACTGTTAAGAATGAAATATAATTCAATAGTGCCTATAACATGGTGTGTGTGTGCGTGTGATCCTTGCTTGTTATTTAGTATCCTCATCTAAAGACTCAGGGCTCAGTGTGTGAAGTGATCTTCTGAAACTTCCTTTGTTGAGATGATATGGAAACTCTGTTTTTAGCACTTGACCTCCAGAGGCTGTTTCTGTTCAGCTTAATTATCCCCCTTAAAATGCAACTATACTTGTGCACTTAATGTATTTAGCTTTGAAGTAATAATCAAGAATTCAGGTGTAAGCCTTTGAAGAGCAGTTGGTTTAATTAATGTAGAACTTGCTTATGAAACAGGTAGTAAAATTAGGACAGTTCCACGAGGAGTAAAAGATTGCTTGGTGACTCTGTTGCTTCAACTGCACTGAGTTCCTCCATGGCTGGTGAAACAGGACTCTCACTGTGCTAAACTTTCAGAATGGCTTTATTTTCAGTCCTTCAGAATGGTCACTTGAGAATGGCTTAATATGGCAGACTTCACACTGGAACTCCAAAGACAGATTTAAATAATAGGAAAGCAAATTCCAATTGAAAGTTAGAAAACAGCAACGGAGCAATAGCTACTGGATAGTGGAATAGTTATCCAGATAGATAGTAGACTCCCTGTCACTGCTTAAGCAGAGGATCTGTCAAGTGTACCCTCACTGAGGATAATTGAGCTGGAAGGGATTGAGCTGGAAGGGATTTGGAGGTCTTCTAGTCCAACCCCCTGCTCTAGCAGGAGCACCCTATATCATTTCATATAGGTGGCTGTCCAGTCTTTTCTTAAAAACCTCTAGTGATAAAGCACCCAGATTCCATTGTAGAAATCTGTTCCACTGGTTAATTGTCCTCACTGTTAGGAAGTTTCTCCTTAATTCCAGGTTGCTTCTCTCCTTGATTAGTTTCCACCCATTATTTCATGTCTTGCCTTCTGGTGCTTTGGAAAATAAGTTAACCCCCTCCTCTTTGTGGCAGCCCCTCAATACTGGAATACTGCTATCATGTCACTCCTAGTCCTTCTTTTCTCTGGACTGGCTGAAGTCCCCTCTGATTCTATGATTTTGTTAGTTGAAGTGTTGCAATGCCTGTAAGACTTTTTAATAATGATGTGATTGGTGGCATGTAAAATATGGATGGAAACTTTAGCTATTTGTTGTGTCTGTTCTGTAACCAGGTCAAGTTTTCAGATCAGTTACTTATATCAGAACCAGTAAGCAATCTAAAGTTCATTCAGGAGTTCAAACGAGGGGTCCAGCCATAAGTAGACTCTAAAGCTAGGCCAAAGGTCAACATCAGTGTATCACCAACTAAGATGCTCAACTGAAGATCAGAAGAGAAGCTTTTGTAGTGTTCCCACTGATGAGTAAGCCTTTATTCACATGCCGATCTGTTTCTCAAGAGAGCATTCCTTTGAAGTCCTTGGTGCTCTCTGAGCTTGGTGGTTTTGCAGGCTCCAATCTGGGTTGGTCACTGGGACCAGAGGCTTAATCTTCCAAGCTTTTGGACTTGTGCTGGAGCCCATCCTCATCCGGCTCCAGCACAAATCTGAAAGCACAGAAGACTAAATTCTGGTCCCTGTAACTGACTCAGATTAGATCATGCAATGTTATCCTGGGACATGTATATTTGTCCTCATTGGTGGTTTTCTTTCAGATGTTTCATTACCAAACTAGGTAACACCACAGAGCATTCTTTTGCCTAGCTATTACCATCTCTTTTGCTGCCCAGTAGAGTATGCTTTTCAAGCTTTGCTACTGTTTACTCCTAAGCAAGACATATGTTTTCTTCTGTAAATCAGTAAATAGATAGCAATAGCACTTAGTCTTATATACTGCTTCATAGTGCTTTACAGCCCTCTCTAAGCTGTTTACAGTGTCAGCATATCATCCCCAACAATCTAGATCCTCATTTTACTGACGTTGGAAGGATGAAAGGCTGAGTCAACTTTGACCAGGTGAGAATCGAACTGCTGGCAGTTGGCAGAATTAGTCTGTAATACTGCATTCTATCTACTGTGTCACCATAGTAGATAGATGGATGGATGGATGGATGGATGGATGGATATAGATAGATAGATAGATAGATAGATAGATAGATAGATAGATAGATAGATAGATAGATAGATAGATAGATAGATAGATAGAAAGATATTCAATTTATTAATTGGCGTGCCTTTGTAATTTTACTTTGTTTTATGTCTCCTGAATAAATAATAAACCAAGTCTAATATTTGTGTTAAAAATAGGAGATGAGGCAAACAAATTATCTAGTTTGGAATGACTTCCATAAATTGGATGCTCTTCTTCCAAGACTGCTAATCCAATATTGCTGCTCAGTATATTATAAGATACCAGAGAGAAAAGTTCCAAATAAGTGTGGGAAAGATGATTCCTTTGATCTCTCTTCCTGAGGGGGTTTCCCTCCAGGCCTGCTGCGTACACAGGATTCTAAGTAATGCAAGAAAACAGATGCAGTGTACAGCTTCCCAGCTGACTCACAGCCTGCACTGAGCAATGCCATGCCTTCATTTCAGCAAGGGAACTGAAAGGAAAAGACAGGGAGGGGGTAGCTTTTTCCCACATAAGGTTAACCCAAGCAGTAATTTTCAAGAAGTGTCTGTTTGCGCCATTCCCCCCCAAAGTAAACTTTCATGAAATAGATTTGTGAGTAATAGAAGATGATTGAACCAAGCAAATCAAGTCAAGTGAAACCATGGAAATTCCACATCAGCTCTCAACATTTAAGGCTGAGTGTAGTGCTTTGTCATCCATGCTTCCTGTTAGTGCTCCTTGATTTGAAAGCTCCCGAGTGAATTTCAATGTTCAGTCAATCAGAATAGAGCTGGAAGGGACCTTGGAGGTCTTCTAGTCCAATGCCCTACTCAAGCAGAACACCCTATATACCATTTCAGACAAGTGACCGTCCAGTCTCTTAAAAACCTCCAGTGATGAAGCACCCACAGCTTCTGAAGGCAAAGCTGTTCCATTGATTAATTGTCCTCACTGTTAGGAAGTTTCTCCATTGTTTCCTTGTCCTGCCCTCTGGTGCTTTGGAAAATAAGTTGACCCCCCCTCCTCTTTTTTAGAGCCTGGCTGAGTAGCAATGAGGTCTAACAAAATGGCAGAGAAGTCACAAAGCTTTGTCTGTTTCTAAGTTGGCTGTCAAAAGGAAGGGGAGAGTTTGATGTCCCAATTTTCAAAGGGCCACCCGAGGAATATGGGAGAGTGTCCTAGGACCTAGGTCAATTAGTTGGACACCAACTGCTCTGTCTGGCAGCAGAATTCATGAAGAGGCCTTTCTTGTTATCTTACACCCACAGGTAATTTATGAAGAAGCCAGATGAGATTGGGTAGAATTGGGGTTTTTACTAATTACTGTTACTGTTACTGTTACTCTTAAATCTCGGAGTGTAGAGAAGCACATAGATGACCTTGGAGAAGATTTGCAGCAACAGTTAATAAAATATAAGCTTAGCTGAGGAAAACAAGGAAGCATGAGAAAGAAAATCAAGATTGCCCCATCTTGACAGTCTTTATATAAGAGGGAGGGAAGGACAAGGCTGCCAGACTTTCAAGATTCTGTTACTATAAGAAAATAAAAATTTAATATTTCTTCTTAGCCTGGTCTACTTTGAAGGGCAGACATGGGGTTCCTGGGTAGTATGTGTATTTATTTTAAGATCTACAGGGCACTTTTGTTCCATTTGCATTGTAAAATATTCTTAAAATCATAAATCTTCAGAAAGACTCTAGCAGCTAATGACAGTTTTAGTAGGGGATACCCTGATCAGAAATAATTGCCACATTTTCTTGAAAAGTAACTGGCTGATGTACCATAACCAGGCTTTCCCTCCTCATGGTGCTCACAGACCTTGGGGCTCCCAATGCTCCATATGCTATTTGATTTTTCTAAAATATGATTTTAATTTAAAAGGAGAGTGAAATGATAGCACACCGTAAAGCAGATTGCCAGCCTGAAGCACAATTCATTTCCAGGAATTTTCTGAGCCCCACACAAACAATAAAATTACTATAAAGTAATGAGACTGTTGCAGCCATTTATAAGAATGTTTCTTTCATCATTTCAGATTTGTCCACAAGCCCTACAAGATTATGATTTTATGATCTTAAGATATGCTTTTTATTAAATCAAGATTACAATTAAAGAGTTAGTCCTTGTTCTCCAGATTATCCGGGTATGCATTATACAGTGTACATAACATTTCTACAGTACAGTAGGGTTCTTTTGAAAATATAGAAGAAGTAACTGTCAGATGCAGAAAAAGTCCTCTGAAGGTAAAAGTTGTATTAGGGAAAGTACTTTTAAAATTGTTAAGTGTTTCCACCTTTATCAGATTTGCTGATCAAATTGATTACATTACATTACATCACAATACATGACATGATCTCGTGCTTCAATAGCTAGAGAAAGATCTTTCAACTGGGGAGTTGGAACATTTTCCCAGCTCCTTAAAAAAAAACCCTCTGGTGGCTGGCTATTATAGCAGGATAAATGTCATAAAACATAACAAAAGATCAGCTTGGTGTCTCTGCCCTAATCGTCCAGAGTTGTGAGGGAGATGGGCAGTTCTAAAGATGGATAGACAGATAGATATTGTGTTTCCCTGAAAATAAGTCCTGGTCTTTTTTTTTTATGCCTCCAAAAGAGGCACCAGGTCTTAATTTCGGGGGAGGCCTTACCTGCTTACCTTAGGACTGCAGCAGACAGGCCTCCCAGACCCCAACACCTGTCGCACAGCTGCCTGACTCCTTTTGTGTCCGCTTGCAGCCATACGTCATGTGGCGCATCACGTGCCGCTGCTTGCAGGAGGCCGCGTGGCGTTTTGGTGCTGCTGTTCGCAGCAGGAGGCCAGAGACAAGAGGATGTGTGGTGCGTGGCACTGGTGCTGCTGTGCATGCCACAATGCAATGTGCTACATGTTCTCCAACC